CAAGCAAGACTGAATGCTCTTAAAAAAGGTCTTCTTTCAGCCTATGCTAGAAATACTGCAAGTAGTGGCCCATCATCATCAGTGGAGGCAAATGATCATAACAATTCATCTATACGTAATTCACCAAGGAACACATCTGATGACGATACAGGCACCGTTGGAGAAGGTTCTGTTCATCACACTTTACCTGGTATGTGTGTGAACTGAACTGTATATGTGAAAATTTTCGTCTAATTTCCCTAAAATTAACGAATTGTACAATTCGGGACATCTATCTTATTTCTATGTAGGCTTGATCAATGAGATTATGAGCAAAGGAAGGCGCATGACTTACGAAGAACTATGTAATGCTGTATTGCCTGTATGGTTTTTTTCGATATGCAATTTTTATTTATTTGAATGTTTATGCATATACATCCCTATTTGCTTCTTTGTTTGGACAATCCTAGAAGATTTTCTTTTTTGTGTATTTGCTTACTTTGCTACTTTTCTTTGCAGCATTGGCATAACTTGAGGAAGCACAATGGAGAGCGCTATGCTTATTCAAGTCATTCACAAGCTGTTCTTGATTGTCTAAGAAATCGACACGAGTGGGCTCAACTGGTTGACCGCGGTCCAAAGGTATGCCTGTTATTTGTCTTTGAGCCATTTCTATTCCGCAACGGTGTATTGTAAGATTGAGCCCTTTGTGCCATGGAAGTTACAATAGAAATAGATTACAATAGCCACAGTTGAGCCCTTTGTGCCATAGAAAAGTATCCATTTCGCCGAAAACAATAGCAAAATCAGAAAAAACTACCCAAAAGGAGATTACAAAATCTTCAGATAGGGAGCACCAAATGGAAGCAAACATTGTTGCAAGGTCTCAAAACTCCTATTATCTCTCCTCCAACAACTCTCTGGTTTCTCTAGAACTATTGTCTCAAAATATTGGCTATTGCAACATTGAACCACAAAACAACCACTTGGTTCTTAAAAGGAGAAGCTTTCATCACCCTTTTGAGTAGCACCTTTCCAAGCCCTTTGTGCCATAGAAAAGTATCCATTTCGCCAAAACAATAGCAAAATCAGAAAAAACTACCCAAAAGGAGATTACAAAATCTTTAGATAGGGAGCACCAAATGGAAGCAAACATTGTTGCAAGGTCTCAAAACTCCTATTATCTCTCCTCCAACAACTCTTTGGTTTCTCTAGAACTATTGTCTCAAAATATTGGCTATTGCAACATTGAACCACAAAACAACCACTTGGTTCTTAAAAGGAGAAGCTTTCATCACCCTTTTGAGTAGCACCTTTCCAAGCCATAGGAACGAAAGAGTTTGAATTGGCTAGTAGTATGCAAAAGGTTATGTTGGCTCTCCAAATAACTTCCATGGTTCGCATGAAAATCGTTTTCTTCGGGAATTTATATTGGTTTATACAATGGGTGTCGAATTAGGATTTTAATTTATAAATCAGGGAAGCTTTATAATCTTATATTGTAAATCGCTTGTGTTACCTTTCAAAAAAGAAAGGTGTATTATGGAAAAACCTTTTGCATATCCCTTTCAAGAATGCAAAAGTCATATTATGGATAAATCTCGTTGTGGCTTTCTTTTGGAATCTGTAGAAAGAAAGAAATTAGAGAATATTTGCAGAAAAGACACAGACCTACCCAAAAATTTTCGACAATGTTGTTTACCGAGCTATATCTTGGTGTAAACTGTCTAATATTTTTATTTTCTATAGTTATACCTCCCTCGTTGCAAATTGAGAAGGTCTTTTGTAAACTTCATGGATTATACATCCTTGAGAAGGTCTTTTGAAAACTCCCTGGATTATACATTCTAGGTGTATTGGGTTAACTATTCCAGCTGGTTGTCATAGTTTTAAATGGGGATAATCTAATTTTGAGACATTTTCAATACCAGACAAATTCAAGTAGGAAAAGGCGCAAATTTGATGTGGAAGAATCCGAGGATAGTGAATATGGTAAAGGGAGAACAGCAAAGGCAACAGAAGGTAAAGGCCTTGAGACCCAGAAAGAAGAGTTTCCGAAACGCAAGAGGAACACTCGAAAACGAAAACTAGCTCTTCAAGGAAAAGGTATAAAAGAGATTAGGAAGAGACGCAAGATGGAGATGTTTACTGACGACGACGACGGCATTGGGCTGCTTTCTGATTCAAGTGATGAAAGCGTGTTCAGTGAGGACGAGCTACAGGACGTTGATGAATGTTCAGAAAGAAGGGAAGCCTCTGGCTCCGATGACTGAGATGAGTAGTTTGGACGGTATTCTTCGAATTGTGGATGTAATTTCTTGTAGTTGTATCTGAGTTACGACACGCTTAGCTAGGGCAGCCTTTGTTACATAGTTCTGGTAGTGTAACTTTTACTTAAGTTAGTTTCATCTTCATCAGGTTGCTTCATCTATCCTTTTTAGAATGGAAATTTGTGAATAGTACTGCTACTTGTGCATATATGTATTGATTCTAATACCTTTGGTGTATTAATTTTAGTGAAGAATTAGCCTTATTTCTCTTCCAAATACTCTGCTGTTAAGTAGGGTTCTCATAGGGGCTTGCTGTGTAGGTTGTGTGGAAATAGGTTGGAAGGGCTATACATTGGTGTGATGTGTAAGATTTTAATATGTAATATTGGATAATATTGATTAGCAAATTAAAACAGATCTTTTTGCTGTGTTTAATCTCGTGTTTAATGTTGTTTTCGGGAATAATTTGAGCCCCTAATCTTTTAGTTAAATGTATATTGTGCTTGGGCAGTGAGAGCTTTCAGCCACATGAATAGTTTAATGTGCTCATCAGCGCTTGACCCTGAGATGTGCATCGTCCAAGGCACATTAGCATGGCGTACTTCTTCTATTTGAATTGAGGTTTGAAACCAAACTTCTCCACGGGAGGATAGAAGAGTTGATTCAGGTGAGATCAAATGTAGATCCAGCTTTCTATTCACCTGTGGGATTTGGGCGGTTTTGGAGGACCACCTATTCACTTGTGGGATTTGGGCGGTTTTGGAGGACCACCTTGGCTCCTCTCTTCTCGAGAATTCATACATTCCTTATCAATATGGACAGTTATCTCTTGGGCACAGGTTTAGGTTCGGCATCAATGGGAAAATAAAGTGGAGCACCTAACAATGCATCTTGATAGACCAAGAACTATGAGATTGCCCCTTTCATTATGGGGTGACGAAGGGATCATACCATTCGAGCCTTTTTTTTCATGCTTCTCGGAGAAAGCTCCCATCAATAGGATTTTCTTAATCCTCCCTCCCCGAAAGCGAAAGGAAGAACACAAAATTCTTTTTCCTTCTATAGGGACCCGAAGATATTGAAAAAAGATTTTAGAGTGTCTAGGGTTGGGCTAGGAGGATTTCTTAATTCCTTTTTCTTTCTCGTCCGTGTTATTTTACAGACGATGTTGACAGTTAATTTGGCAATAAACTGAATTGAGGTCATTTGTAGTCGACTTAATCTCACAAATGTACATAATTTCAAGCATTTTGTTAAGTTTTTGCCATAAAGCATCAGATAGTACAAATATTTCATACTTTAAGCATCGAACACGAAAACTATACATGGAAGCTAAACTCTAATATGGCTCAATTACCGTCAATCGACTAGTATGTCTTGGTTCTTGTCTGAAAATGAATATTTTTTTTAAAAAAAGTCGAGTACTAAAAATAGCTAATAAATGACTTTTTTGTTGAGGGTCGTGTAATATGTTCGGGATGGGTATGTTGAGCCCACCGGGCTCATACCACTTTCGTATATCTTGGGCTTCACTTGGTACACACCACTTTCCTACGTAAGTGAGATCAATTTCATATGCACCGACCCTACATTAAATCTAAAAAAAAGGAAGGATAAGGAGGAGGACGGGGTTAGTGACGTGAACAGCTACTTTCAGACCGTACGATCAACAATTAATTTCTTTGATCTCGTCCATTTTTTTTAATGGTTTCTAAGACTCATGGAGTCCGTTTTCGACCCATTATCACCAATTTTATTCTTTTGATTTAATTTAGGACATATTTGAAGAATTTTAGAAAAATTATAATTTCTAATGAGCTTGAACCAACCCCGATAATTCAACCCACCAAGTAAATCACCGTTTGAATTTTTTAGGAAGAAATACTTATAGAGATCGATTAGAACTTTGACATAATTTCACTGAATAGTCATATAGTAGAAAATACAGTAATAAGACAATACAACATGAATCAAATAAAGAGTTTGGAACACTAAGATTATATTGAGTAATTATGAATTGCTAATAAATAAAAATTTAAATAAAAAAAAACTTAGAAAAGTTAGCAACAGTAGAACCCAACCCGAAAAGAGATAGTTGAGTTGTGAAAAATTTTGGGTCGGGTTGGGTTACCAAACTTTTGAGTTTGGTAAAAAAAAAAATCTCTCAACTCAATCCAACCCGAACCATGTACACCCCTACATTTCTTGGACGAGCATGACAATGACGATAACCCACCTGTGATTTTAATTTAAAAGATTCACTTAATTGTAAGAAAAGAGAGGGAGTGATTAAAAAAAAAAAAAAAAAAAAAAAAAAAAAAAAAAAAAAAAAGAAAAAAAAA